ATCCATACCAAGGATGACATCGAACTCGGACATATACAACACTATCAGATCGACTATGAACTCGGACTCATCTAAACTGATAATACACCTCCTACAAACACTCTCTAAAAGCAATACCTCTCCTAGAGGGGTGGAAACTGATAAAGGGGTGTCTAATGGATGAGCTACGAGCTGGAGTCTAATCATGAAAGCATACGAAATGAAAGAATGTGAAGCTCCCGAATCGAAAAGAATACGGGCGGGAAAGAAATTCATGAGGAACGTACCCTCCACAACTACTCCGTTGGTACCATGATCACGGGGAACCACTACATAAACTCTGCCTGTGGTTGAAGACTGCTCTACTGCTGGTGCTGGAGAATATGGGATAATCTGCCCCTGGGGAGCCTCCTGGACTGCTTGAACATGCCCCTCTATCCTCTGTGCTGCTGGTAGTGCCTCAAGCCTATTCTGCTAGCCCTGACATCTGCCCTACTATTGCTGCTGTTGCTGGTTCGGACCCCTACCCTGCTAGGCTCCTGCTGGTGCACTACGACACTCTGATACCTTATGTCCGACCTTGCGACAGTTAAAACACACTCCCTGGAACTTGCGCTGCTGATGCGCTCTCTGATCCTGCTGGGGTCCCTTCTTATGAGGACATTGTTGTTGCTGCTGGAATCCAGAAAAAGACCTCTTGTTCTTACCCTTATCCCCTGTCTACCCTGCCTTGGTCTTCCCTTCCTTATCCCTCTGAAACATGGCAGTCTCAATCTCCTGTGAGGTGGCGGCTTCTGCTACCTCTCGAACTGAATAGAACTTCCTCGAGACGAGGTATCGATGAAGATTAGGGCAAAGCCCTGCTAGGAACATCTGAGCCTGACGCTCTCCTGTCTGCCACATCCCTGTGAAATACAGTAACTCCATGTACTTGCTCTCAAACTCTGCAACACGCTCTCCTGTCTGCCACATCCCTGTGAAATACAGTAACTCCATGTACTTGCTCTCAAACTCTGCAACTGACATGTCCCCCTGAGTCAAACGGGACAACTCAAGTTCCTTCCCAGTCCGTGTTGCAGAAGAAACATACTGTGCATCAAAGAAGTAAACAAAATCCTCCCAAGCGAGGGTCATCCGGTGCTCTGGAGTGAACTGGAGCCTATACCATCTCCCGGCGTCTCCCTTCAGACTGAAGGACGCTAATCTCTGCTTCTGGACTGAATCCACATTAAGTATATCGAGGATGTTACTCACATCCTCCTTCCACTTATGGGCTGCAAGAGGATCTACTGACCCCTGAAACTCTGGTGCTCTAATCTTCTAGTACCTCTCTACCAAGCGGAGCCAAGCCTCCTACTCCGTCATTCTGTCTGGTACTGCCAGTGGAATACCTGCAGGTGCTGGTGGAAAAACTATGGGTGCTATCTCTGGGTCTCTCTCTGATCGGGACGGCTGGTATTCCCTATGGTGGAACTACTGGAGGTGGTGGTGGTGGTGTCGGTGGCGCGATATGACTCGTCACAAGATCCTCAATTGTTGCCATCCTAGCTACGATGGGAGCCATGAGATCAATAAGGTACTAGGGAGCCTGCTACGGCTCAGGTGGTGCCTGCTCCTTCTCGGGTGGAGCCTGCTGTGGCTCAGGTGGAGCCTACAGGGCTCTGCCTGAGCGGCTCTGCGAGTGTGGGGTCTGCCACATCCTGCCATTTCTCTGATCATAAGAAAATAAAAGTTCATGAGTCAAAGTAGACATATATACATACATAATGTATCACAATACGATTTTCACAACATATAGTATTCACGCATATACTTTAAACAAAAATAGTTGTCATAAAAAAAATTCTCAAAATTTTGAGATATACGCATATACCGTCCTCACTCATACTAGGAAATCCTTAGCGGACTCTATACATAAATCCTAAGAAACTCTAACCTAGCTCCACGACTCGACACAGGTTGATCCTAAGGATACTAGAACTAGAGCTCTGATACCAACTGTGATGCCCCTAGGTTCACACAAGGCTGCAGTCCAAGGTGAAACCAAAAATGTCAAACATGTCATGCACCACACCGTGTAATAACATGTTTCACCATCACAATTACTATCTTTCTAGTAGAGTCAATAAAAGATGTAGGTACAAAAGCAAGTAAAAGATAATACAAAAATCAACAGATGAAATAATAGAGATCAAATTAATATCCCATCATCTAGCATACTGAAGTACAAATCAATGTCTGAAATAAATCAACTGAAATACTCAACAAGTCTTAAATACAAATATCTGACAAGAGGAAATAAGGCACACAGCCTTTACAACTTCTACAATAATACTCTCAAATGTCTAAACAAAATTCTACTGCGGAGCTCAAAAGAAAGTATAACTAAATAGACAGCTGAAGCTAAAATACATCGCCGTCAACCTGCGACTCTCCGGGCTCTTGGTTCGTTACCTGAAAGGGGGAGGGACAACGAGTGTCAAAGCGCTAGCGAGCAACATCACAACCAACCCCAAGGGAAAGGGCTCGTTGTATACAGAAAATACGGATTTATACATAGAATAATCATATCATTACTCCTAACAAATAAAGGTTTTTAGTATTTAGGAAACTACAACACGAGCGTAGGTACGTCGAGCGAAATAATCCAAACAAGGAAACCCTCATGTATATACCTTATATCTCTAATTGTATAAAATCCCTAAATACCGAACCTAAAGTCTAATACAAGAACAATAAAGAAAAGAGACAACCTATTACATTATGTAAAACAAATGTCATATCGAAACCAGATAAGTGTCATGTCGGAACCACATAAGTGTCATGTCCAGCCTAAGTAGCTATCATGTCTTAACTTCATATAATCATGTCATGTCCTAATTCAGCTAAGTGTCATGCTCGTGGTCTAACCAATATCCAACACATGGACTGATTTGTGAATGTCCAACACGAGAACTAAAATGGATTATAGTCCAACACGAGGACTTCAATGGATTATAGTCCAACACGAGGACTGTGTATATAAAACATGGAATGCAAATGTTAAAAATATACATATCCTATTCTTGCACGTGTCTCGATGTACAGATCTAAGCTTATGACAAACGCGTCATCTTACATGTATAGGTGAACTCATAAATACTGAAGTTTATACCCGATAAACGAGGCAACTTCTCGTACTCAAAATGATAAACAGTACACTCGAATATATATAATTTATAGTCGACTGGGGTCATCAGTCGACTCGTGGTCGACTGGGATCACCAGTCGACTCATGGTCGACTAAAAAAAGAACAAAACTAAAACCCGACAGTCCACTCATAGTCGACTGGGATCATCAGTCGACTCACAGTCGACTGGGGTCATCGGTCGACTCACAGTCGACTGAACAGATGGGTTTTCTCTGTTCGTGCATGTTGTGATATTTTGTAAAAAATACATCTACAATTCAATTCTATCCAACCCAAACAATGTATTATCAAATCTAAACAGATATGACAGTGAAGAATTCGTATAAAACATGGAAAACGAAATCTTGCATGTTAGATCTAACATTTAATCCCTAAACATGTATGAGAGCATTTAATCAATATGAAAACTCATTTTTAAATAAATTCCCAGATCTGGGTTTCATCAAAGATTCGCTGGTGAGGATTTAGAGATCTGAAACACATGATTTTTAGCATCTACGGTTGCGTTTGGTAACCATTGCGTTTGTGTCGTTTTCGTTTTGTTAAAAAAAACAAAACGTGTTTGGGAACCACTCCGTTTTTCTGTCTAAAACACCAACAACCCCAAACTTTCAACGGGTTTCTCAAAACAACATAAAGGTGTTTTTGGTCCGTTGTTTTCATTCCTCCCTAAAAAAATCACCGCGAGCTCAGATCTGGCCATTGTCTTCCCCCAAACCCTCTTCCCCGACCGCGTCACCGTCGCCCAAACCTCCATCCCCGAGCTCGTCGCTGGCGCCCAAACCTCCCGTCCCCATCTCCGGCGCCCAAACCCTCGTCGCAATCACCGTCGGACGTCGTCCAGATTATCAAACCTCGTCTTCGTCCCCCAGACCCTCCGATCTCGTCGCCGCCGCCCCGATCCTCCAGATCTCGTTGCTTCCAGAGAGCTAATCGTCGTCGCCGTCGACCAAGCTTCAGGCCGACTTCCACCATCGCCGTCGCGACCAGATCGCCATCGCCGAGACCAGTAGAAGTCGTCGCCTCACATCTTAACATAATGTAAGCATGTATACTCGAGCTGATTAATTTTTCGAATTTAAATTCTTGTATTTATTTTATATTTAGTAATGAGTAATGAGCAAAATGCTAATTTTGGAGGGTATTTATGCAAAAACCGTAGCTTTGGGTAATTATGAAGATGGTAATTATGTATCTGAAACACAGAGACTTTGCGGTGTGTATAACTCTTTTTGTTATTTCCCCAAAGTATTAAACTTCTAGCTTGTTTGGCTCTGAGATGTCTACTTAATTTCTTTTCCCATTTCCAAAATTTCAATATCTAGAGCAATTTTGTTGAGTTTGTAAGAAATAAATTGTTTTAGAGGGTCTTAACAATGACTGAAGTCTGATATAAACATAGCTACCATTTTACTTAAAGAGCTTAGCATAAATAATCAGCTTATTAAATACATTATTAAATACTGTGCATTTGGACATCATAGGCAAAGGAATCATAATTCCTCTTATCATGCATTCACATGTCCTTTAAACAAATAAAGAGTACAGGGAGACTTCAGAGTTCTAGTACATCTTTGCATATATCACTAAAGAGAAGTTTCATATAGGTTGATAGCACTAACAATAACAATTTTTGAAAAGTCTTAAATTTTATCCTTGGTAGCTTTTAAATTTTGAGTTATAGTTTATATGCGCGAGACTTTGCGGTGTGTATACTCGAGCTGATTAGTTTTTGGGTTGATGATGTGTAATTATGATAGATGTCAAACGCAATTCATGATGTTGAAGAAGTGGTGGAGATTACTCCTTCACAAGGGGTAATTATGATAGATGTCAAACGCAATTCATGATGTTGAAGAAGTGGTGGAGATTACTCCTTCACAAGGGGCGGGAACTTGGCCTGAAGAGATTGTTGAAGAAGTGGTGGAGATTACTCCTTCACAAGGGGCGGGAACTTGGCCTGAAGAGATAGAGCTTTACTTCATAGATCTGATGAAGGAAGAAGTGAAAAAGGGAAATAGGCACACTACTACCTTTACTAGGACATCTTGGAAATTCATTGAGGATGAGTTGAAAAAGAAGTCTGGGAAGGAATACCCACATGAACAATTGAAAAACAAATTTAATCAATTAAGGCAACGTTGGAGAAATTTGAAAAGTTTATTGACAGACACGGCAGTTGGATATACTGTTAGCACCGGCCAAATATCCGCAACAGAAGATGTGTGGAAAAATTATATGCGGTAATACTTAGTGTATTTTCTAAATTTTTATTACTTTAAATCATTGAGTTCATTGTTTTTTTTTTTTGTATTTTTGGTTCACAGACTCACAAGTATGCAAGATATTTTAGGAGGAAAGGGTGCAAAGGTTATGACAAGTTGTGCATTATTTTTGGTGATACAATTGCTACTGGTGATAATGCTTATCCATCTACAAAAAGTCCTACTATTAGTAATGATGATAAAGAAGAAGATGAAGAGCAAGAGGAGGAGGAAATAGAATCATCTCGGGCTAAGAAAAAGTCAAAAGTAGGGGGGAAACGAGTACCATTGAGGCAACAAGTCCAATTAGCAATGGTGGATGCTCTTGCCTCGATGGGCGAAAGTAATAAGAATAAAATGGAATGGAAGGAGAGGAAAATGAGTTCTACTTCTGGGCATAGTCATGTTAGTGGTGCTATTGGTCCTCGTGAAGGTTCAAATGAGATTACGAATTGTATTACCGTGCTTAGTGCTCTTGAAGGGATTGATTCTAGACAATTTTTAAAAGCCACACAAGTCTTACATGATGATACGGTATGGAGAACAATCTTCCTAGCGATGCCCGATGAGAGAAAGAAGGAATGGGTGTTAAGTCTTCCATGACGCGTGCTTGAATTAGAGACTATCTTTCTATTAGTGTATTATGCAAGTTTGTAGTAGTTTGCATTAGCTTGAGGAACTTTCTAATTATCTACTACTTATGTTAGTTGTATTATGTTGAGGACATTTGTATGTGCTTATTTTATGTTGTTTGCATTAGGTTGAGGACATACATATTTATTTCTAGCTTATCTATGGTTGGTTGTGATGTTGAAATATTCTGTTGCATTTGATGATGTATTTATAGCTAGGTTAGCTTGTTTCCATGGTTGTAGAATCCTTCATTAAGATGTATCATTAGTTAGCCAAATGGATGTATGACTACTTATGATGCTCATGCTGGTTTCTTGTGAAGATACATATCCACTCCAATTTGCAAAGTCCATCAAAATGTTCTTTGGTTGATGACATACATGTTTTGCTGGTTGTGAAAGAGAAGGCTTATCTTTGAGATACATATATACTTGTGTGAATGAGAAGGCTTATTTCTTGGTTGGTTGTGATGTTGAAATATTTTGAATGAGAAGGCTCATATACATGTTTTGGAATATTTTTAATGAGGCTATTTAATAGGGAGGAACATTTTTATGTTATTATTTACTTTACTATTACTGAATCAAATTTATCTTCGATCAAAATATTTTTGTGAACAGAGCCTCAATCTTTTATATTGAAACAAGTTAATAGATAAAATGGAGATGAACTTTTGTTTCAGTTTCATTTGTTTGAGTTTCAGTTTCATTTGATCTCAAGGAGTTACTAGTAGACAGCATTCCTTTTGCTCAGCAGTTCATGCCTGTGTTTTATATTACTGTAATTTATTTAGATTGGACTTAGTGGTGTACATGAGTCATATGATGGATCTTAAAGACATGCAAACAATATGGAATGTTCTGCTTACTACAAGCTGCACATATTTGTTTTTATTGATTATCTTTTAGTGATGACTGGGGAATTGATTATTTATGTGTAACTGCATATATTTGTTTATAGGTATGGATACCAATATTGATGTAGATGATTATCAATCGTCATCAACTTCTGATTCCGAATCTGAATCAGATGAAGAGCAATTTAAAGCGTTGTTGGCCATTTATGCAAGTATGGAGTGTAGTGGGTTTTTGAATGAGAAGGCTCGACCACAAAGGATCTCAAAATTAAAGGGACACGATTGGGTGATTGAGGTCCTAGGGGGACACCCAGCTACGTGTTATGACCTTTTTCGGATGAAAAAAGAGGCATTTGTTTCCCTCTGTGAAGAGTTAAAAAGAATTGGAAAATTAGAACATTCAAGAAGTGTAACAGTTCAGGAACAAGTAGCAATATTTTTATTCGTGCTCTCTCATAATGAACGACAACGGATAGCTGCGGATCGTTTTCAACATTCGCTAGAGACTATCTCTAACTTTTTTAAGAAAGTCCTATATGCAATTTGTTCTCTTAGCAAATATGTGATTACACCTCCATCATATGATGAAGTTGCATTGGAGATATCAACTACCACAAAGTATTATCCGTTCTTCAAGGTTTGACTATATTACTTGGAAGCAATAATTTTTATGTATTGTTTACTTTGTCGTTGACATAGATGTTAATATATATATTATTTCTTTTGCATTATAGAATTGCATAGGGGTAATAGATGGCACTCATGTTTTGGCTCATGTACCTGTAGATGATCAAATCCTATATCGTGGAAAGAAAATTGTACCAACGATGAATATGATGTGTGCTTGTTCCTTTGATATGCGGTTCACATATATTATGAGTGGTTGGGAGGGTAGTGCAAATGATTCGAGAATTTTTTTAGAATGCATTAGCAATCCACAAAACAAATTTCCAATGCCACCTACAAGGAAGTACTATTTGGTTGATTCTTGGTATACCAACATGCCGGGTTTTCTTTCACCATATCGTGGAGAGCGTTATCACTTGCGGGAGTATAGAGGGTAAAATATTCCTCTGCATGGTTCCAGAGAGCAATTCAATTACTTGCATTCTTCATTAAGAAATGTTATAGAGCGATGCTTTGGGGTGTTGAAGAAAAGATTTCCGATTTTGAGAGATATGCATTCATATAGTCTGAAAAAACAGAAGTACATTGCATTAGCATGTTGTGTTATCCATAATGTGATTCGAATGCATGATTCCGGAGATCCATTATTTTTTGAGTATGATAATGAAGATTTGGAGCTCGAGGAAGATGGAACTCAAGCACAAGAACAACATACTATTCCAGTTAACGTTAGCCCGGAGCACCTTCGTCAGATGGCAGAATTTCGAGATCGTTTGGCCCAAAGGATATGGACTAATCATCATGGTTGACAAAAATGAGTACTATATTTTGAGAACTTAATACATATTGTATTATTAGTAAGGTTTTAATCATGTAAAGATGCCACATACAATGATTTTTGAATGCACATACTGCTACATATCTCACGTCCACAATGTCTGAAAATAATAACCAAAAACTCCCAAAAGAACTCCAGTATTGTAGTAGCTTGTTGATCATCTTCATCTTCTTATGTTAGTTTTACCTTCGGCTTGAAGTAAAACAAAGATCTTGTCATTAGAAGGACTTCAAGCTAAACTTTTGTTATCGAATGAGAATAAACTCCTCGAAGCAGCTTTATGAATCCCACGAAGCTCAATTTGCCATCAGCATAGTTTGGCCAATCTTGGAATACGGTGTGAATGGGCTTTGATAGACTAAGCCCAAGTTCCTCGTAATAATCAAAATTGTCAGATGACAAATTTGGGAGCATAGTTTCTCAGGGAGAAACTAATATCTTTGAAATTGATATACACATCATTAATATCATTAAACTAAAGCTAAACTGTCTTTCTCCCCTATTTTGGATCAATAATGAAAGGGAAATAATCACACTTGTTATGGCGACACTGGTGGTGCATCGGCTAGTTGTCACCGGTGACATCGCCGGCACCGGTCGCAGGCACCGGCGACAATCGCCGCACCGGCCACCGGCACGGCCGTCGGCATTGGGTGGTTTTGCCGGGTTATGGTGGCGATGGTGATGATGGCGATGGCGGGAAAGATATTGGTGTTGATAAGCATTGGAAGTAGTGTTTCAAAACCACAATGGTGTTTTCAAAATACTTTGGAAGAAAAAACCAAACACCAATGTGTTTTTCTAGAAAAACGCAGCACCAAAAACACCTTGGTAGCCAAACAAACCCTACACTAGTAAGAACATCGATTTGTACTTGAAAATAATTCTTAGGCTCAATAAATCTCATGAAAATGTTTAAAACTCTTAAAAACATGGGAGAGGGATTGGGCGAGATGTTACTCGCCTCTGGTGTGCTGAAGAACGATTCCCTTCACTGTAAACCCCAAGAAGTTGCTGAAATTCCCCAAAAATCTCCCAAAAACGCGCAAAATCCAAAGCTAGGGTTTTAGAGGGGAAAGGGGGTTAGGATTTCTGGGGAGAACTGATGAAAGGGGCCTCTCTCGGGTAGAAATAGGTAAATACCAACAGTTAAACCCGACCTGAAAACCCAAACAGACCCGAACTGCACAAATCAGGAAAACAGTCGTCAGTCGACTCAGGGTCGACCGAACCTATCAGTCGACTGAACAGACTCCAAATCTGTCTGCACATGTTTTGCAAATTTGCAAAACTCAACCTCAAACCTGATGCATATATACATTCACCTAAACTCAAAACACTAGTTATCATGCACAACTATGACATAAAGACATTTATCATAAATAAATATTATTTTTCACTAATAAACACATAAACATATATCAATTATCAAAATGTACAGGGTTTTACAACTAGGGGATAACCCTAGTGTGGTAAGCGATTCGGAATCCGATACTAAATTATCCATCTTTGATATTGCATGTGCATATGAAAAAGTAATGCATGCCTACAAGAAATTACAAAATAGTTTTATTGATCTTAAAAACAAGCATGTTGAATTGAAATCCAATCATGAGTTATTAGCTTCTAAGTTTGATACTATTTCTAATGAGAATATGATCGACAAAGAAAAGAATGATAAATTAAAATTGGATCATGACTCTTTAATTTCAAACTTTGCTATTTTAACTCACGAAAAAGTAAATGCCATGATAAAAGTAGAAACAATTAGAAATGAGTTTAATTCATTTAAAAATGATCATGTTTCATCTACTTCTATTTCCAATGCTTTTGTATAGAATAATGAGTTAAATAATGTTAAAAATAGAATATCATCCTTAGATTCAACACTAAAATTATGCATTATAAATAATAAAAAATTTATGGACTTGTGTGCAAAGTCTAATGCAAACTCTTCTAAGAAACCTATACACTATGCCCACATGTATAGCAAGATTTATAAATGCTCTATTTGCGACTGAAAAGACCACCTTGCTAAATTTTGCTATGATGCACGTAAACCCATAAAATCTAATGTTCCTAGTGCATCTTATCAAGCTTCATCATTATGTACACATACATTCACATGCTCATACTCACAAAGTTCATCATAAGCATACTAATGTGTATCATTGTGATTTTTGTGGTAGAGTTGGTTATTTAGCTAAGTTTTGTTTTTATTTACGAAAAGTTTCTAAATCGTAAAATATTTTAAGTGGACCAACCTTGTTTCAAAATATTTCTCATTTGCAAAATAAATTTATAAGACCATCTATTTTTGCAAATGAATCCTGTGCACAAGTTTATGATCAACAAAATCAAATGGGCCTCTTTCATTGTACTTATTACAATCGTAAAGGTCATTTGTATGAATTTTGTTTTAACCGCGTTCGTGCACTATACACGCCCAAATGGGTTCATAACCCAAGGGCCTTGAACTCAAATTCTAGGGTCATGTCCCTAAATCCTTCGGCACCAAGAATGCTTGGGTGCCAAAATCCTTTTAATTTTAAACCAAGATTTTGTGTTTTTATTTTTCATTTCTTTGTTTTGAGAAACGTGTTCTTAAAATTTTTGAATATGAAAACAATTTTGGTTAATTCTTTTGTTTTCATGATTTTTGGTTTTGATTGTCATGAGAGGTTTGTGTTTGAGCAACCCTCAGGTTTATTGGGTGTTTATTCCCAAATCTTGTTTACCGGGTGCTAAAAATTTTATATTGGTTATTACAAGCTCAAGAGCTTGATATGGTTGTCTCTCTTGCTTTTTAAAAATTGATGATGGTTTGGTTTTATGTTATTATGTGATTTAATTTGATTTATGAATTCATTTGTCTGATTTGTTTTCATTTGAAAACTTTTTTCATGATTCTTATGTTTTCTTTCTTTTGATTTTATAAATCTATTTATACATTGTTTTTATGTTTATGTATTGAGACACATTTTTTTATATTGAT